CACGGTGCAGTCCTCAACCCGGCTTCCACGACTGTGCGGGGGGTGCAGAGGGAAAGGAGAGAGCGGGGCGGGAAGGGGAGAAGAGGAGGGAGGAGAGGGAAGGCGGGAAGGGAGGACGCGCAGGCGGCGGCCGAAGTTACCGTTCCCACCGCGCGCAGCTGGCGTCCTCTCAGTCCCACGGCAGCCAGCGTCCGGTAGCCGCTGCCGCCGAGAAAGCGAAAGTAAAAGCCCCGGAGCCGCGGAGGGAGGGGCCGCCGGGGCGGGTCGCGGGGCCGTGGGCACCGCCCCTGGCTCCGGGACAGTGCGCTCCGCAAAGGGGGCCCCAGGCAGTCACCCGACGGTGCTCTCTGCACCGCTGGCCACACGCCGAGTGGCACGGGCCGCCACTGGCGTCCTGTCCGGCGGTCTCCTCGGCAAAGTTGGCTGCACACACCGGGAAGCTCGCTAGGGACAGTCTGCAGAGATGGAAGGAGTCCCGCCAGCGCGCGGGACAGCACATTCTGCAAGACTGGCCACGCTCCAAGTGACCCAAAGAACGCAAACTTCACAGGGGCGTGCGATGATGGGGACGCTTGTCATATCACCTCCACTTCCCCGCCCTGGGTCTAGGTCTCGACCTAGGCCTCCTCACCAACGCGGGGACCAGTTCCCACTGCCGGCGGGCTCTTCCGCAGCCAGACCCACAACCCCAGCCCGTTATTGTTCGCGTCCCCCGGGGGCTCCGCGCTGGCACCTGCCTGCGTCACCTTCCCGGACGCCGACCCTTGGGCCAGCTGCGGGATCGCCGTGGTCTTCCGGCCTCCCGGATGGGGCCGTGCCGGGCGCCCTCCTTCGGGGCGCAGATCGCTAACCGCGTTGGGTAAGCCAGTACCCACTTCGCAACAACCTAGCAATGTGGCGCCAGAAACATTCCAGAAGTATTTGTTGTGCGCCCCCACGTGTCAGGCAGTGGGTATGTGGCTGTGAATGAGTCACGAGCGGGACGGAGAGCGCCGGCACTGGTTCCAGCTCCGGGGGACCTTACCTGCATCCCCAGAACCGCCCCATCTCCGTCTTCCTTCACTGCCCAAGGTTGTAAACTCGGCTTCCGATGCCTTTCTCCCCAAGACTGCTCAAGGAAGCATCTCACACTAAAGTGTGAATATCTGAAAAGAAACTGTAGTTTTATTCATACCAGAGATAAAATATTTGCTTTTAAGAACTACCAAAGCCTCGAGCGAAAGGCGGCATACAAGCTTAGCGGTGACACGGGGTGAGAACCACATCTTTTTGTTTGGTTGTTTTCGCTTGCGCCTGAGGCTTACAGATTCTCACCAGGTGAGGACACTTGCTTGGTTTGAACAAGGACTGGCCCCCACAAGTGTAAGGGAATAATTATTATACAATTGATTAATTGCTGTGAAAAATCCTGAATTCCTGAATATTTTTCACAGGTAGTAACACAGTATCTAATGTGGCCACATGACCATTCAGAACTCATGTCCCTGACTGGGTAAACGAAGCCATTCCAGCCACTAAGATAATTTACTTTGCAAAGAAATTCATAGTGAATTATTTGAGAAATGACTCCTATTGGCAAAGTAAGTTACTCTCTGATTTATCTAATTTGTAAATTTAGGATTTTGCAGGTTATTCTTGAAATACAGTGGAATTTAGAACCTTCATGAATAATGTCTACTCATTCTATAGATAAAGAATCTTGAGCTCAAGCAGTTGCCCAAATTACAAACTGGCTCGTGGCAGAACTACGATTAGGTTGCCCAGGAAAATAATAAATTTTCCATTCACAGGAAAGGCTTTGCCATAAATTATATGAAGCAAATGCTATATTACACTGTGTTAGCATGTAAGAATCCATAGCTGGCTCAAATGAGAGGTGGTTTGCAGGAAAACTTTCTTTTCCTGTTCTTTGCTATGGGCTGGTATTAGAAATTCCAAAATGAGTCTTCTGAGGCTGGCTTATCACAAGGAAGTATGGAAGGGAAGAAACCATCGTGAAATGTTCCCTCTCTAATCATTGTGCTGACACTGGATCCGAAAGCTAATCTCTTCTATAGTGTCTCCTTCCTATGTCACTCCAGCTTTGGGCCATGTAATCGTTTTATACTCCTGTCTATATTCACATACTTATAGCATGAACCCCCCATTTCAGAAAAATCCCCCTGCCTTCCCTATTTGGATGGCTTCCAAAGGACTGGCCTCATGGGTGCTTGTAGGCCAGTCCCTCTGGACCTTCCCTACAGCCCTCTCCTCCGGTAACCAGGCTGCTTGTAAGCTCCCCATCCCTACCCTGCTGGGCTTAGCACCCATGAGGGGTGACACCCTTAATGGCTTCTCTAATACTCTGCAAACTCTGGCCCCTGTTTAGGCACCAGCAGGCTTCTGCCAGGTGGGAAGCTCAGGGTCCAGGTGGAATCCCTTTCTTCCCTGAAAAGAGGCATTTCTGCTGCACCTGTTATCAATTGATTGCCTCCCAACTCAAAATTCACCCTTTCTGTCTGTTCTGTGAAAATTGAACTGGGCTCTTTAAGGGGCTCTCTTCCCGGGGGTCTTTGCCAGTGGCCTGGTGTTAAGCTTTGTCAGACATTATGGGATGGAGAGGGTTTTGCTTCTGGGTTCTGGTGTGTGATGTGCTCCTGCAGGGAAGGTTGGGTGGCCATCCTTTAGTGGAATAATGCAGAGGCACACCGTGCAATTTCTCAGAGAGTCCTGAACCAGATTGAGCCCCAGCTGCCCACAGTGGTCACTAGCTCAGAATATACCCTCTATTGACGCTTCTCTCTTCCCTGGCTCATTCTTCTTTAACCTTCACTCCTACTCCTGCCTCATGGGCCCACCTCCCAAATAACCTAGCTGCACCTAAGCCCTTGCTTTGGGGGAGAACCTGAATTAAAGAATGCACAAAACCCCCAGTGCAAGAGGGACAACTGCAATCTCCCCTGGGCACCAGTGAGAGTGAGGGGTCAGTAGCTGCCCTCTCACTTCATATTAATCATCTCTCCATCATTTCAAAACCAGTTCATATGTACAGCGCTGGAGGGCCTGGGAAGTGATGCAGGGCTAGGAGGAATTGCTTCACATCCTGGATGACTCAATCAAGGCACAACCCTCCCCCCCATCCCTGAAGTAGGGAGCCCATCATCCTCTGGATGAAATTTAAAATAGATAAATAGGGAGTGCTACCCTGAACCTCAAAAAGGAGTCCCGTTGCTCACTAATGTGCAACAAAAAGGCTGTGAGCTTTTCAGTCATGAGAAGCTCCCTATGAGTGAAAACAAAAAAGCCACAGCAACATGGGGCGGTGTTGGCAGAAGCTCTGTGGGATCTGGCCCCAAGCCTTGGTCCTGGGTGCTCTGCTGATCGGAGATACCTTGGCCTCACCTATCACAGGCCTGTCACTCCATGTGCCGCAGGCCCAGCTTTGGTAGTGGCAACTAGCTCCATGTGGACTCTGGTCATCTGCACATGGGCACAACCAGCAGCGTGTGGCTTCTGCTGCCCTTGGTGTTTTCCTGTTGGTGTTGAGGCATGAGGTGCTGTGGGTCTCCCTGGGTACATACACATGGAGGAGGAGGGGAGTTAACACCTAATGGAGCAAAACCCATGGCAGACAGGGACCAACAGATAAATTCTCCTCCCTATTCAGACATTCCTGAGTAGCAGTTGTTAATATGTCCCCTGGGAAGGCAGAGATCAAGTGGCCCAATGCACTTTATACCACGTGTGGCCACCTTGAGAACCAATCTTATACTTCCTGCCCTCTCCCATTCTAACTCTTGCTCCTGGATTACACTTCTGAGTAAAGCCTTTGCCTTGAGTTCTGTTTTCTGAAAAATCCAGGCTAAGACTATTGTTGTCTGAACCAATCCATAAGGCCAAAGGAACCTGGTATGCTCACTGGCCTAGGCTTAGACAGACTGATGTGATCATTGTCAAGAGGGAGGGGCCGTATGCAACTCAAGGCAGGGTATGGACCAGCCAAGGGTCTACCAAGGCCATGAAGGGAGTGTTAGTCTTGCCCTAGCAATGAACATTTACTTCCAGTTCCTTAAACTGGCCAATTTCTATTTCTAGGGTTGTTCTTGCTCATAATTTCTGGTATCTAATAAAGCAGAAATGATGGTACAAGTCAAATTTAATATTTCATTTTAGGAACCCTTATTTTCACAAATGTTACAGAGAATTTGTAGCAGCTACAGATTGTAATCACAACCTCAAGCAGAGAAGAAATGTCACATAGCTTTTCCTTTAAGTGTAATCTACCTTGATTCTTCAGCACTCTGAATTGGAGAAAAGGTCATTCCCAGTGATTATTGGGGCTTCTCCGAACTCCCCAGGTAAGGCTTGAGAAGTCCAGAATAGAGCAAAATTTCTGGGGGACCCTCTGGGTCTTTGTCCTGTGCCAGTTGCTATTCTCATTTGCTCAGGCTGGTGACAGCCCTGATGACATTTCAGCGTGAGAGGCTTTGCTGAGCCTGGAGCCTCTCCTTTGAGCTCCCTCCAAAGGCTGCCTTGTGCCCCAGTGGGAAAAACTCAGATTCCACCCTCTGTTTAGTCTCATGTGAGTTTGAACACTACTCTTATTCATTTGTACTTGAGAGCTTCTTCCTCCCCCCTGGCTGATTCAACTCAACACAAAAATAGTACTGGCCTCTCTCCGCCCTACCTGCAGACAGCAGCCTAATCTCAAAGCATTTAGGTCAGAGGTCACAAACTGGCAGACTGCGAGCCCAAGACTGCCCATAGCCCATATATTGTTTAATATATAAAACTGGAAATGTCATGTGTAAATGCAGATTTCTGCCTTCTCTGGAAAAATCAGAATATTCGGCAATGCTGGACTCTGATTCTTTTATGACAGTGGTCATCTAGGACTGGTGAGCCGTTGGTTTCTTCAAATGGGATATGCAATCAGGACTTCGCACCTGGCCTCTGTAAGCATTTTGGCATTAGTACTAAATTTATCTCATTTATTCAATAAATCCTCATCGAGCTCTTTTTAAGTGCCATTTCACCAGCAACTGAAAGCAGCGAGACGCTTCACAGAACCAGGACCAGAGATTTTGTCTTTAAGCCACCAAATTAAGGCCTGCAAGTCAAGGGAACAATCAGAAAGATCTTCTTGGAACATTCCAGGATAAAATGCAGAGGCTGAAACACCGGGTTTTCATTTGTTTTTATTTTTGCAT